GAGATAGTAATTGTTGGAAGAGTCCTGGTGTTTCTGGGATCCTGCACTTTCTTCAGACATTCTCCTTAGGCCACCAGGCCCTGAGAAGAGAACTCCAAAGCTGAGCAGATGGAGAAGTACTAGTATCCACAGGAGTTCAGGGCTGGATGCCACCAGTCCTGAGTCACGTGGAGCCCAGCTGAGGAACGTGAGGTACATCTCCAGAGCCCAGGGGAACACTCCTTGTTAGAATCTTCCTTCCCTGGAGCCTCGCTTTCTGTCAGATCCCATGCAGAGGTCAACGAGGAAAACACCAGCTGTCGTGGAGCTGGTTAAAAGGCACCGCTAGAGAAAGTGGCACATGCTTTTGAGGCACTGCCAATAGCTCAGGTACCATTCCTTCGTCACCTCTGCCGAGCAGAAAGAATTACGTACTTTGACAAATTGTGTTTTGTCATTTTCAAAACAGAAAATCCATGAATGTTCTGGAATAAAGAAGGTATGGGATTCTAATCTTAACTTGAGATTGCGGTATTTAAAAGCTATCAAATTCTGTTCTATAACTATTTAATTGGGCATTTTAGTAGTCACAGGCTCCTAAATAAATTACACGAGTTTTTCTGAAAGACTGGTCACAAGTTGAATGCACTTACTTTTTTATAGCAGCACTTCCTGGTTATTTAAGGACAAAACTGGAACAAGACTTGAGTATTAAATTGTGATTCTAAGATCTAAAGTTGAATGAATAGGAAAATGCCAATTCCAATTTTTAAAAGAAATTTGCAAGCAAGTAAAATCAGAGCACAGCGAATATTACCCACATATGTAATGGAGAATCTACCAGTAAAATACCTATGCACTTGCTTTCAAAGTCATAATTACATCAGTCTATGGTAAAGCAGAAGAATCAAGCTTCTTGATTTCTAGGGATATTCTTATCCATGAAACCACTTGTCATCTTTGCCTCCTCCTCCCTTATTTGGATAAACAACAGCAATAGAAATCCCATCGCCATAAACGGAGCAGGTATTAGCTCCTTATTTTCCAGGTGTCTTCCTTCTCTCTCGTCTACCCTCTATTTACAGATCACTGTGGGCGGTACCCCGTGAGTATATATTTCTCCTCTAGACCATCCCCACTCCCCATCTTGCTACTCAGTGACAACCCCCCACTACTTTTTAAGAGACTCTAAACAACTAAGAAAGTAGTTGAAGGGTTAATTATGGTTAAAGGGCCTCTGATAAACTTCCAGGGAATAAAGGCTACATATAGAATTGAAAGATTTCTTGGGCAAGATTATCAAGTAGATCTCAATTTATACTCTCTCAAGTGTTGACTAAGGGTATCCCTGCATATTCATCAATGTTAGCTTGCTAATTCGTTCATTCATTCATTCACTCCACTTTATTGAGTAAGCTTGACATCTGCAAAACCATCACCACAATCTATACCACAAACATATCAGTTACACCCAGAAATTCTTCCCACCCTCTTTATTTCATCTTTATTTTATTTATTTATTTTTTTTTGGTGATAACACTTAAAATAAGATCCATCCTCTCAGGGAATTTTAGGTATATAATATGGTATTATTAAATATTTCTGCACAGTAGGTCCCTAGGACTTAATCATCTCTGGCTTAACTATTTTTAAGTTGCTAATTTGAAAGGTGGAAGTGGTACTTTATTAGTATTTTAATTTTCATTTATTTGACTAATTATGAGTTTGGACAGCCTTTTACATGTTTATTTGCTGTTTGTAATTCTATTTTCATTGAGTGCCTACAATATTCTAGAAACTATTTTAGGTACTATAACAGTTAATACGACAAACAGAGTTTACATTTTAGTGCAAAAAAAACAGAATAATAATAATTAAAAAACCCCCAAAACACAATACTCTTTTTAAAAGCTAAAAATACCATTTTGTGCTATAAAAATATAGAAACAAGAATTGTAAGAAAGCAAAGGGACAGAGGAAAGAGGGCCATTATCTTAGATAGAGTAGTCAAAGGGAGGTTTTATGGAGAGATGACATTTGAACAGAGACTGAGTGCATGTGCCATGTGGATTCTTGAAGGAGATAGGGTGGTGGTAGTGGTGGGGGGCAGGGCGGGAGGGGGAATCCAAACATAGGGCAAAGCAAGCTCAAAGCTCCCAAAGGGGGAGATGTTTCCGTGCTTGAGGTATAGTAAATGGGCCTGTGTGGCTGCAGGCAATGAGCAACAGGGAAGGGCGGTGGTAGCAAATGGCCTTGGAGAGAAGGTAGGAGGTTGGATCATTAGGGCTTGTCTCACTGAAAATTGGGGAAGAGCCTTTTTCATCAGGAGGAGATGCTCTTGGCAGACAAAAATACATAATCCCCATATGCACTATACTGCCAAACTCGTCATTAAATATTGAACCACTTCCTTACACCTTATACCAAACAGCTGTTGCCCTTAAAAACCTCTCCTCAGGTTCTGCCTTTGCAGTTCACCCAGATTAGGTTCTGATTGTTTGGTTTCTATGCTAGTCAGTGTCAAAAGCTCTGCCTCCTAGGCAGCCATTTGCTCCTTGCACTTTACGCAGATTTGGTTCTGATTGGTCAATTTCTATGCCAGTCAGCATCTCTGGGCCTATCAATAGGCCTGATCAGCAGCCCCAGCAGAGGCCAGAGAGAGAGAGATGAGGCTGCTGGCCAGGCCAGGAGCTAAAGAGAGAGGCAAGTGCTGTTCAACAGCTGCCATGAAGGCAATGGATCAGACCCTGCTTCTCTCTCCCCAGGCCTCTCTCTGGGCCTGATCTGCAGCCCCCTCAGCAGTCAGTGCTGGGTCCAGGCTCCTGGCACTGATTTCCTGTTGGTTGAGCCTCTGGTTGTTGTGGATGTTACGGACCTGGGTTTTTATATATTAGGATATAGATGGTATTATAGTTTGACAGATACTTCAATACAAATTTTCCCAATTTTCTGTTTGCATTGGACCCAGTTTATTTTATTTGTCACATATTTACTTAAAACTAATTGTATGTAAAATCCAGTGGTCATTCCTTTTGTGGCTTCTTCTATTACTTTTAAGGTTAAAAAGCCTTCCAGTAACCAGGGGCCAGATAGCCACTTGTATTTTGAGTGCATGTTGACTCATTTGTTATTTACTTTAGTATGTGGTAAGGTTACAAGTGATACCTTCTTAAAAGACTTATCAGGTTTACCAGCCCCTCTCATGAACTCTTCCCTTGCTCACTGGTCTGTGATGTCTTCTTCACATAGTATGCTTTATTTGGTTCAATTTCAACTTTAAGCTTTGAAATTATAACAGAGATAATGAAAACCTTCCTTCCAATTGTCATAATAATATGCTCTGTATGTGCTCACAAGGAAATAATATCTCAATGTGCTCACAAGGAAATAAATAAAACAAAACCAACATTCTTCAGAAGAAAAATACAGGGACAAAAAGCTAATAAAAGAAAGATAAAACATGAAGGAAAGAAAAGAAAGGGCACAATCCATTTCCTTTTTGAAAAGAAAAGTACCTGTTGAAAAATGTAAAATGAGAATACATGTATACATACAACAAATATGTTAAGTACCTTCCCAATTTTAGGCATTGCCCTAGGTGCCATTAAATGGTAAGATATGGGCTTAGATTTCAGTAGGGAAGTTGGGGATCGAGCCCACAACCTGGGCATGTGCCCTGACTGGGAATCGAACTGTGACCTCCTGGTTCATAGGTTGATGTCAACCATTGAGTCACACCAGCGGAGCTATATTTTTCTTTTAAACATAACAAAACTAAATACTGGACATAACATAACAAAAGGGAATACAAGTGACCAGACTATAAGATACTTGAGGGCAGAGGTTTTTGATAGGTTTGCTCACTGCATATCTCCAATGCCTACCATAATGAGAGTGTAGAACTCATTAAACATTTGTTAAATAAAAGAAACAAAGCGACTATAGGGGATAGCCTTTTATTGGCAAAATAAGAGTCAGATAAAATGAACATTCAGAAAAGGGCTTCAGAGAAGCCTCATGGGCTATAAAACTGGTCTCATAATTACATTGTACGTCAAAATCAAGCATGGGTAATTTAAAAGTAACATTACACTAACACAGGGTTCAAAATACAATGTTAAATTTAGCCACTTCCTTGTAAACTTCTTGTCATCACCTCATGAGTTTATATGTGGCAGGAATTATATCTTCTTTTCAACTCTCCCAGTAAGAGGAGAACACACTGTGTGTGTGTCCTACATGGTGTATATTTACGCTGTTGGAGGCCTTCTGAAGAAATGCTAGCACACAGGCAAAGTGCTCCAGGAAGAAAATGGGGACAACTTGGCAGCATTTATCATTACTAACACTTCAGTCTCCTAGAGTAAACTTTGAAATTATATTCTAATTTGAGATGGTTCTGGTTTGACAAGTTAACCCTTGAGACATCTGAGTACGTATTATGAAAGAACAAAACTGTTCATCAACCCTTTATGCCAATGTTAATTTCTTTTAAAAGTAGGATTTTAATGTTTTTTAATTCCTACAGTGACCCTTAAAATTTCTATGTATGTAATCACGAATGCACACACAAGATGCATTTATAAGCTTATTGTGTAGTTCCAAAGACAGTTGGGAAAATCAATTTTAATTTTGTTACTGAAATAATTTAAAAATATATTATAAAACTGCCTCTTTTCAATCAACAGCAAGGATCTAGAAAAAGATTATGCAAGTAGGCACACTTTATTTAGGTTTATTAGTGTTAGAAAAATGAAGTTGCCTTAATGTCAAACTGAAACAAGCACTCTCATATTTAATTTTTCATCTCACCACTGACATCAACGTATATTATTTTCTTATGCCTTTAAAGAAACTCAGATTAAAAACTTGGATCATTTATTTAACAAGATTCATTATATGCATTAACCATTGAGATGCCCCAAACTGGAAAATTATTTTCAGCAAATGTGCAATATTTCCTGATGATCTCCGAGAATACCTTTGTGACTAAAGACTTTATTCAGGGAAAGAGGGCTTACCGGCTTTTATTCATAAGGTCCGCTCCCCGTGCTTTGTAATAATCTAAATTTGGATGGAACTGGTAAGTCACTGGTCTTGGATTTCTCTATAGGAAAAAAAAAGAATAAATTAAAATGTATAGAGCTGTTTAAATTGTACATTAACATATAAAAGGATAAAATTGTTGTTTTTATATTCTTTCTGGAAAAAATACACACAATAATGAAGTTTAATAATTAGTATACTTGGGTTTTGCTTTTATTGTTGAACTTTTGCCTTAACTTATCTTAGTTCTGACTAAAGACTAAAATTGTTTTAATATATTTTTCTTTTAAAAGCTTTTTTAATTAATTTTTTTTAGAGAGAGGAAGGGGGAGAGAAAGAGAGGTGAGAGAAACATCCACCAGCTGCTTCTCCCATGCGCCCTGACCAGGGATTGAACCCATACCCTTTGGTGTATGGGACAACACTCCAATCAATTTAGCCACACCGACCAAGGCTGATTATATATTTTTCTTTACTTGTTTCATAGTTCACATAAATTTATTCCTGTCAGATTTATTTTTTATGATTTTGATCACTTTCAATATGACTTTCCAAAACACAGTAAGATAAAAATGACAACAAAACTGAAAAATTATATGAAATTTAACATGAACATAATCTATGCTAATGAACCAAGAGATACAAAGTGTCAAGAAAGCTGCATTTTGGAGGAAGCTCTTCCTTTTTGATATCCAGAATCTAAATTTGCCCACTAGATGGCACACCGAGTCTTTCTTCTCCTAAAATGAATAAACTATTTCAAGAATCCAGCAATTCTTTTAAAGTTAGCAATTTCTATGTCATCTATTCTTATATACGAGTTTAATAAGTACCCACGTAGTGGAAATATTAGCAGGGTATCATCACAATACAAAAGCAAATTGACCAAAAAGCATACATTTATATAAAAGAAGCAATACACTGACCTTTCTGATATTTAATATTATTTATAATCACTATAGAAATGTCCCTTAATCATAAATAGGGTGTGACTAAATATTTTTCTATTAATTTAATGTGTCTATTATTTAAATGTATCCAGTTCCTCATAGGCACATAATTAAAGAAGTTTAATTTTTATTAAAAATTCATCTAATTTATAAAAATGTAACTTGTTAATAAAGCATTACTTAAATAAATACCATCTCTAAAATGTTAAATCACATATTTTTTAAATTTAAAATTTAAAAAAAAATTATAAATAAATATTTTCCAATGTTCACGAGCATATAATTCAAGTTAATACTTAGGATTTTGAACCAGAACATGCCTTATCCTTTAAGAGATTTATCTAGGCCTAGAAAAATTGCATTTTATCTTAATAAAAAATTACCAATATGTTTTGGTATCAATCCTTGGAGACAAAATCTTGAAGCACTGATACTTGCATGTAGGTGGGGATATGTAATTGCTAAGGTTAAACAGTTTGAAATTCATCAAGCTAACAAGCTGCATCTTAATGGCCATAATGGACCTTTTCTTTTTCTGCTGAAAAGAGAATATTTGCACAGCTCAACCCTTTCATAGCTCCTCCAAGTCAGCCCTAATCATCTAACAAAAACGACAATCCCTTGATTTAGCTCCAGCTCCTATGCCACTGGTTTGGTATTCAGCACACAGTTCTAAAATAATCAAATCTGAATCGCCTTGATGAAGATAACGGATGCTTCCATGGCTACCATACCATTACTAAGTCTAACACTGCAACTTCTCTCTCTCAAGGAATCACATAGGTTTCCTTGCTGTAGCTGATGACAACCTGGACCCAACATAATGGGAAAATAAAATAGAGGCTGAAGTTACCGGCAGATTGTCAGTGCATTCGTGACTTATTTCAAAAATTAACTTCTGCAGGACCATCACTCATGACTAATTTTGTTCTTTATGCTCAGTACCTGGAAATACATTTTGTTTTGACTAATCTAAAAGACTTTTCTTCTCTGACTTCCAATAAACCAACAAAGGATTGTGTTACTTTTTGCTAGAAAACAATGAAAGGGGGGACTGCACAGAGCAATTTCTTGAAACATCTTTATAAGAAACGACAAGCAATTCAAGACCGAAGTGCTGATCTATGTAAGCACTTAAAGCCATTATTAGGAATAATGATCTAACTTGAACACATGAGTGAGGCTCAAGTATTGCTTTCACGAAGGCCTATTTAAATTCCTGGGAGAATTACTAGTATCAAAGGAAGAGGCAGTTTAAAGTACCACTATATTGGGACTTAAAAAAAAGAAATCAAAAGAGGATGATGAAAAACAGCATCTGAAATGTAAGAAAATAAAATCAGAGGTTCCAGTTAAGTTACTCAATAAGGTTTACTGTCTGAGATGAGATGATGATGCTGTTACTAAGGCAGTAAGACTGTAGACAGATAGATGGTCTAGGCGAGCACTGCCCAACAGAAAGGCAATGCAGGTCAGAATGCAAACTTCACACTTAAAATTTCCTAGCAACCACATTAAAAAGAGAAAAAAGAAACAAGTGAATTTAAATGTAACAGTATGTTTTATTTAATTCAGTATATCTAAAATATTGTCATTTTAACATGTGGTCATTATAAAAATTATTGAGCCATTTCAGATTTTTTTTTTTTTTGCACAAAGTCTTGAAATTCATTGTATATTTTATACTTATAGCACATTTCAACTTGAACTCGTCATATTTTAAATGTTCATTTTACATGTGGTTTGTGGCTTATAATGGACAGGGCAGACTAAATGACTAATATGTGTAAACCAATGTGTAGCAATCAAAATCAATATATGTATAGAGACACAAATAAAAAACGCACAAATAGTTTTGACATTAAGATTCAGTACTGACAGTACTTCAGCATATCTATAGTTCTTTTTTAATTAAATTAGCTTAATCTCTTCTAAATAAGGTCTTAGAAAATCAGAACACTTTTTAAAAATATATTTTGACTTTTTACTGAGAGGAAGGGAGAAGGATAAAGAGCCAGAAACATCGATCAGAGAGAAACATCGACAAGCAGCCTCCTGCACTCCCCCTGGGATGTGCTCATAACCAGGATACATGCCCTTGACTGGATTTGAACCCAGGACCCTTCAGTCTGCAGGCTGACGCTCTAGCCACTGAGCCAAACTGGTTAGGGCAGAAAATCAGAAAACTTAGAACAATATATTCTCGCACAGCTCCTATGTACCAAAATACAATGGTTTCCTTAGGGCAGTGATTGACAAACTCATTAGTCAACAGAGCCAAATATCAACGGTACAAAGATTGAAATTTCTTTGGAGAGCCACATTTTTTAAACGTAAACTTCTTCTAACGCCACTTCTTCAAAATAGACTCGCCCTGGTCGTGGTATTTTGTGGAAGAGCCACACTCAAGGGGCCAAAGAGCCACAGTTTGCCGACCACAGCCATAGGGGAATATTAAATAAGCAGAATTCTAACTTTATGCAACTAAAACATTATAAAAGTAAAGAGAAATTTGTTTTTCTTATTTTGAAGGATATTTTCCAAAGAGAATTTTATAGTACTACAACAGTTCTGACTTAATTTTTAAAGACCGAGAATTTCCTCTAAAATATAGGAGCCACTAGAATTCTCTGCTCTACTCTGCACTGGAAGTCTGCTGATCAGCTTGCAACCCTCCTCCCCCGCCCCTCAGCAGACTGCAGCACTTCTCACTGTGCAGAACATGTGATGTCGAGAACTTTAATATTATGCCTTTGCCTGAATTGGAACAATCCATACTTAATTAAAACCCATTTTCACACAGTCATGATTTCAACTATTATAAGCTTTTCCAAACCAATGTACATTTAAAAAATCCTTTTGTTTCGGTGAATTTTTCTTTGATAGGAAGATGGCAAAATGGTAATCCTATCTTAGATCTGTGCACAGAGGAATACCAATTATGCCTCCTGATTTGGGAAGTCTACATAACCATACAAGAAGATATGAAATCACAAACCCAGTCTACCTTGGCTTACCATGCCTTTCCTACAAGATGGACTGGAAATGAATCTACAAGATTGCAGCTGGTTCACTTCCCAAGTACCATTCCATTCTTCTTTGTTAACAAGCTGGTGGAGGAGCTCTCCTTGAAGCTGTTATTCAGCATTTTATTTTCTGGTAATATAAGAAGAATGCTGAAATTTCCACTCATGGCATAGACAGGCTGCATTTTTGGGAAGCATCTGAAAGCCTTGTGGACAAAATGACTTATAGAGAGTGCTGGAAACAAGTGTCCTAGAGGGAACTATATGGGAAAACAAAACAAAGCTCATACTGTACTTCTGAATTTCTAAAGCACTTTTGTTAATTTGGCAGGATCGTAAAATCAGTTTACAAGTAGTACTGAAATGACAGCATTCAAAGTAAGGGATAAAACTAATTGACAGCTATCTAGTCTCGCTAATACAGTTAACGTTCTTCACTTCTAGTCTATACTATGATAATAAGCTTGCACCTTACTGTCATTTCAGGTAAAACACACACTCTGTTCCTTGCTGGGTGTGACTTTTGATGGTGAATAACTCCTCTCTGCTATACTCTGCGCTGAAGTCTGTAGAGAGCATATAACCTTCTCCCCTTGCAAATCTCCTCCCATCTCCTTCAGTTCTATTTCAATATTTTAAGCTCAAACTCAGTTTGTTGTAGTAGTACACAAATATTTAAATGCTAACCCACACTAACTACACGATTCTACTAGTACAATTAACTACAAGCTGGTGCGTGCAATTTTCCTTGTTTTAAGCCTGGTGAAATCAAACACATGCAACAAAGGGCATTACAAACAATACTTTCCAGATTGATCCTCTAACTCCTCACCCTCCCTTGTAGATGACTGCCTCCTTTTGATTCGTCATATGGAACCCCAGAAGGAAGTTAATCTAAAGTATTCATTCTGTTCTGAACAGCATGGACCCATTCAAAGGGCTGGCTATGTATACACGTAGGTAGAACGGAAAAGAGCCAAAGAAAAGCAATTCCAGTGATCCTGGTTCTGATTTATGAATGTGCCAGAAGGAGTTAAAGGAAAGTTAAAGTTATATGTTAAACAAAGAGATTAGGTAAACATAGC